GTTTTCAAAAATAAAATTATTAATATTCAAGAATCGTTACTATCATTTATGTATTAAGTTTGTCTTAACATTTAAAGGAAATCACACATTTATTAAAGTTATTTAGTTGCTCTTGTTGTTTATTATACACTTCTTTAATTAATAATAAATTGCTCAATCTAGTTTACCTACTGAACTAATATACGACATTTATAAAACTTGAAAGAGAGTTGGTTTTTAGATAAATTAGGCTATATTATTGATTATTTTATTGATAAATAGATAATTATAAAAAATATTTTTTTAGTTATTTTTTTTATTTTGTCGTATGAGCAACTTTAGACACATTGTAAAATTTGAGGAGACAGCCTAATGAGTTCAACAAATTTTTGAGTGCGTCCCAAGAGAGAATAAAACATGTTGTTTCGTGCCAAGCTTCATCTTCTTGTCAACACCTAAAAACGCGAAAAATGTCCTATAATTCCCTCAAAAAATACATTCTGAAAAGTGATATGTAGTCATTTAACGTCGGTGCACGTGTAAGTACATGCAAAACAGACAGTCTTTCGCATATTTCGTCGTCATTTATATTTTGTCAGGTAATAAATAGTCGGAGTGTTTAAGTAAAAGTGTATCAATTTAGGTGTTAAATCACTATAATTGATGGTATTGCATGCGGTTTGCTTTTTACGAAGCTTTTTCGGTATTTTTAGCTCTTTATAACTTCACTTAGAGACGTGACTATGGCAAAGAATGCGTTTTGTTTGTATATTTTTATCTCCGGACCCATCACAAAGAAAACAAAAAGGGTGTTACTTTACATATCAACAAACGTATCGGTTTCGCGATCTGCTTTCATAGGAACGAATTCAATTTTCGTTGAGACTTAGAAAACGAAACGCTTGTAATTCCAAAAATTTCGAAACTTTTTCTTCTCTCAGTTTCAATTCAATTACAATTTAAAGAAATCTTCAACAGCTGAAAAAATTCGTTGTTGTTTTTAAAATTAGGGGTCACATTTCGATAATTTACGAGCATGTTGTGATGTCCCATAATCCATCCCCAGCTACCGTGCACCCATAAGAAAGAAAATGGCATTAGCAGACCATAACTGTCACATAAAATTAAAACCATCCCGGTTTTATTGTGGCAATATTTTGCGACGACATCGTTATAGTTCGAAGGGTGTTTCTGACAAATCGATGTCCCTTTAAATTGCCGTTTTTCCCATAAACTAATGACTTCACATATGGTTTCACGTGTTAATTAGGTCTTGTACCATCCATCCTGTCCGTGTCGGTTTCTTACCTTGGCGGTGTCACCATATGGTTAGCACTTGAAGAAGGAGGCGGACTCTTTGCGCATTAATCAAATTTTCGAACAAACAGGATATCAAAGGGCCCTTTCTTCGCTATGATGGATGAAGGGTATTATTGATACACGCGTAAGGGTCTTGCGGTGTTGCTTCAGAAAGCACCAGCCAAAAACCAAATTTTTGAACAAATTTTGAAGCAATAAATGCTTTTATTAAATATTTTGCAGATTGAAAAAAAATCGAATCATTTTAGGTGAAATAAAATTAGTATCAAAAGTTTATTTTTATTTAAACAGAAATCAATGGTCAACATTGTGGTAGCAGTTTATTTCAAAGGCCAAAAAAATTATTTTGTCTGGTTTTAAAATGGTTTTATTAGTTCATTCTGCTTAATTTTAAAAATAATTTTTTTTGACGAAAACATGCACTTTTTAAAAATTTATTACACAAAAACTAAGACATCTAGAATTTTTTTTTCACTACCGCAAAGAAGAAGGTACAAGCTATAAGGTTGTAGTGTGTTGCATTTGCAAAAATAAAAACGGAGGCGTTTGTTAAAAGTTCAATAACTTAAAAAATTTAAATGGAACACCTTTTTTATTGTTTTTGAATTATTAAATTGTCTTTCTAAAATTATTTACTTTTAGGTGTTTATAATCAATAACTAAAAAGATAT